GTGTGTGTGTGTGTGTGTGTGTGTGTATTTCACTGTGTACTTGCCAAACAAATGGTTAATGTGTTACGTGTAAGCAGGATTGCACATGTATTTGTATTGACATCTCAACCATAAAAAACAAACATGTGCAACAACTATAAACTCTCCATATAACACCTTACACATAACACTACTGCACTGCATGGTAACACATGCATCATAGTCACTAAGCCCGCGCGTAGCGCGGGTTTCAGCTAGTGTATGCAATTGTAACAGCGGCCATGAGGCGCGAGGATATAGATACAGCGCCGCAGCAAGTCATGAACGCGTATGCACCGCGCGCGCGTCCGCCCGCGCGGCAGTGATAGCGGTCCGCGCGCGCAGCGGTGGTATGCGGCGCGGCGGTGTATGCGGCGCGGTGGTGATAGCGGTCCGCGCGCGCAGCGGTGTATGCGGCGCGGTGGTGATAGCGGTCCGCGCGCGCAGCGGTGTATGCGGCGCGGTGGTGATAGCGGTCCGCGCGCGCAGCGGTGGTATGCGGCGCGGCGATGATAGCGGTCCGCCGCGCAGCGGTGTATGCGGCGCGGCGGTGATAGCGGTCCGCGCGCGCAGCGGTGGTATGCGGCGCGGCGGTGGTATGTGGCGCGGCGGTGATAGCGGTCCGCGCGCGCAGCGGTGGTATGCGGCGCGGCGGTGAGATATACCGCGCGCGCCTGCGGTGCGGCGGTGATAGAGGTCCACGCGCGCGGCGGAAGGATGCGGCGCGGCGGTGAGATACACCGCGCGCGCCTGCGGTGCGGCGGTGATAGAGGTCCGCGCGCGCAACGGTGCGGCGGTGCGGCGGTGAGATATACCGCGCGCGCGTGCCCGCGGCACAGCGGTAGTATGCGGCGCGGCGGTAATATATACCGCGCGCGCGCGCCTGCGGTGCGACGGTGATATGCATCATGTATGTTGCACCGCGCGCGCGCCTGAGGTGCGGCGGTGATACACGCCGCGCGGTGCGATTGTGTAATATTGAGCATATTGTTTTCAGTTTTAACGTTCTCAGTAAAATATACGTTTTATCAAAATTTCAGGGGGAGATGCTGTAGTTGTCAACGGGGGGTCGGTAGCACGGGGCGGTCGCCCCCTCTAGAAATAAGTGGGGGATGTATTCTCCCTCCCCGCTATCTACGCCCCTTGAACTTTAAATATAGGTTAGCCTGAAAAATACGCGAGAAAAAACGAGTGCCAACTGGTAGCAGAGCACATAAATCACTGTGATTTATGTGCTCTGCTGGTAGCTAACACATCACCACGCATTCCAGGCATGAAGCCAATACACAACTGGCCGGGAAGTTCCGTTGCATATTTCTAAGAAAGGGTGCATGCAGTACATACGTCCGGGATAGAAAAGATCATACTTGCCAATATAGACGTCATAGCAACGTAGACGAGCCAAGAAGAGAACGCGCGCATTACTGTGTTAATCTGCTATCATGGCTCGCGCCCTTCTGAAGCTTCTCTTCGCCTGTTGCATGATCAAATGCGCACAGTTTACCACTACCAGCACCCCGGCCACGAATACGACGAGCGGAGGCCCCGTCGCCAATGTCTACACGAGTGAACCGGTGGCCGAGTCGAGTTTTGATCAGGGAGGAATTGAATATGTGAATCGAACAGTAGGCGCAATGGAGTCGATCGCGATCGCCGTTAAGCAACTAGCGGCTCTGCAGCAGGTATGTTAGCATGCTCAAGTTACACGAGTCTGATAATTACCTCCGCCCACGGAGTGGAGGGGAGGTTATGTATTCGGGTCTGTGCGTTCGTGAACTGTGTGTGTGACGCGATCGATATCAGCGCGTCAGCGAGCGAGCATGAGGCCGCTGCCGGCCTGAGACCACAGCCGGCTGCTGCTGACTGAGCGGCGAGCGAGCATACATGTACGCTGGGGTATATCGTGGGTTATTCGTGTGTTCGTGAGTCGTATGGCGTATGGCGTATGTCGCTGGCGGAGGTGTGCACTCTCCGTGAGTGCCCTCTGTCTAGTTAAGACATGCACACGCGTGCGCGCACGCACGCCACGCACGCCACGCACGCACGCACGCGCACACACACACACACACACACACACACACACACACACACAATGGAATTGATGATGTAGCGGCTGCAGCGCACGTAATATCATTGACGCAGATCACTGTCATGACGCAGATCACAGCCATGACGCAGATCACAGTCATGACGCAGATCACAGTCATGACGCAGATCACAGCCATGACGCTGATCACAGTCATGACGCAGATCACAGTCATGACGCAGATCACAGTCATGACGCAGATCACGTACACAGTCATGATGCAGATCACAGTCATGA